GAGAGTGGGAGGGAGGACAGAAATGATTTAGGAAGGGAGAGAGAGAAAGATAGATATATAAAGAGAGAGATAGAGAGATAGAGAGAGAGACAGACAGACAGACAGACAGACAGACAGACAGACAAACAGACAGACAGACAGACAGACACCTCTCAAGGCATCTCTCATCTTAAACCAACTACACCCCAGACACACCCGGAGGACCTCCCCAGACACACCCGGAGGACCTCCCCACACACACACTCACAGCAGTATACACTACCCAAAACACCACCTCAACTCAGTAACTCCTACGGTGTGTGTGTGTGTGTGTGTGTGTGTGTGTGTGTGTGTGTGGGTGGGTGGGTGTGTGTGTGTGTAGTACCTTATAAATCAATAGACAGATAGACAGAATGACAGAAAGACAGACAGGCCAACTCCGCCATACACGTCCACAATATATCACTCTGTTGCCTAAAGGGAGAGAGAGAGAGAGAGAGAGAGACCCGATGCTCGTCTTCTAACTGATCTCTCTCTCTCTCTCTCTCTCTCTCTCTCTCTCTCTCTCTTCCCCTCTTTCTCTCTCTCTCTTTCTCTATATATTTCTATTTTCCTCCCTCATTCTCTACCCTCCTTCACTTCCCTCCCTCCCTATCTCTTTCCCTCTTCAGCCCCCACCCCCACCTAACTCCACCTCACCTCACCTCACCTCCCCCCCACTGTTTACCTGAGTATTAGCATCTGTCACCTGTACGCCTTGACTAATATAAACCAAAGTCTAATTAAACCTAGACTTTGATATTATAAACCAAAGTCAAATTAAACCTAGACTTTGGTATAAATCTTCATGTTTACGTAGACAATTACCTTACCATTAGGGGCGCTGACACACCTGGTGGTATATGTGGAGTGATTTTTGCTTTTGAGGGAAGTTAATTACAGGTGAGGTTATGGTTTCTAGGTAATTGTTGTTGTTGTTGTTGTTGTTGTTGTTGTTGTACTTCCTCTTCTTCTTCTTCTTCTTCTTCTTATTATTATTATTATTATTATTATTAATATTATTATTATTACTATTATTATTATTATCATCAATACAGCGGACACAACACCTGGCTTCACCTGTCAATAACATCTGTCAGCGAGGCGTCCTGTACACTCAAACAACATGTGACTATTGTTGTCTCCCTCACACACTCCTTCACCATCACCTATTGATCTCGCTTAGTGTGTATGTATGTATGTATGTATGTATGTATGTATGTATGTATGTATGTATGTATGTATCACGTCTAGTATTACAAATTAATTTCTCTAAAAAAAAATTCCCAACTTCCTAAACCAAAATATTCACCCAAAATACAAATAAACAAATAAATAAATTAATAAATAAATAAACAAATAATCCACAACATAAAAAACAAAACGTATCGTAAAAAAATCCATTACATAAAAACAAAAACTTTATTTCCTTTAAACTTTTTCCAATATTTTCAGTCACTCATAAATTATTCAAATCGTCGTGAAAAGTGAAAGAGTCTGTAGTAATTTTATAAACCAGGAGTTACGTTCAGGTTTAATAGGGAAGGTGTGTAGTGATGTTTGTGTTGTGGGTGTGTTATAGGGTGTGTGGGTGTGTTATAGGATGTGTGGGTGTGTTATAGGGTGTGTGGGTGTGCTATAGGGTGTGTGGGTGTGTTGTGTGTAACTGTGTATATCAAAAAGTATATGTCTATTTTATAGGACATGTGTGTGTAACTCTGGAATCTTTAAGTATATATAAAGTAAAGTTAAGTAAAGTAAGTGTTTTTCGTCATCTACTTTACCCACTTTTGAGTCCTACAAGTAACTCGACATCCAGACACCATCACCTGACTCTCACAGCATCTCCAGGTACACGGTATAACAGACAATAACAATCCTCACCTGATGGCAACACTCATTCTGGGGGAACTCCGATTAGATAATTAGCTACTCGCTTTAATCTAATCTATGCAGTGATAATTTACCGTGATAATTTACCGTGATAATTTACCGTGATAATTTACCGTGATAATTTACCGTGATAATTTACCGTGATAATTTACCGTGATAATTTACCGTGATAATTTACCGTGATAATTTACCGCGATAATTTACCGTGATAATTTACCGTGATAATTTACCATGTTAATTCTTGGTAATCTAGACCCCGAGAGTGAATTTAGCAGTTTCTTAAGTTCATACCACGATAAAAATTTCACCTGAGTGGGGATAATTACAGGTGTTAGCAGGTATGGTTAAAAGTGTTAGTAATAATGTTAAGTGACGTATGCTAATTATGTTAAGTGTGTGAGGTACTTAAGGAGACATGGTGTATAAAGTGTAGTGTGAATTTGCATTTGTATTAAGTGGTTAAGTGACGTTGGGATGTTTAGGGTGAAGTGAAGGGAATATTTTTATAATACTGCATTAATTTACATACATACATACACTACATACATATATACATACATACACACGCACACACACACACACACACACACACACACACACACACACCACTATGACACAACACTGGTCAGAGCCAACGATGCAACCTGTAATTACAAAGCTTAATTAGTGAAGATTAAGCTGTCACTCACCCTCTTACCTGTCCTCCCCAAGTGTTTTATCTGTCGTTAAGCTTTACAAACTTTTCAAGCTTTTCCTCTTTTTTTACGTCACTTAAGTAATGGAATGTTGAGTTGTCAAGGGTGGCAATTGTTTTTAGTGTCCCTCTCTCTCTCCTTATTCCTTTCTCTCTTCGTCTCTCCCACACCCCCTTCTCTCTCTCCCTCCCTCCTCCCTCCCTCTCTCTCTCTCTCTCCCTCCCTCCTCACTCTCACACTCTCTCCCTCTCTCTCACTGCATCAGTCCACATCATTAAGGGAGGCTGGTGCTCAAAGCGGTGAAATTACTTCAGCTCATTTTTATAAATATCTTGAACACCCTAATGGAATGATGGCCCCTGAGAGAGAGAGAGAGAGAGAGAGAGAGAGAGAGAGAGAGAGAGAGAGAGAGAGAGAGAGAGAGAGACAGACAGACAGATAGACAGATAAAAAGACACAGATATCAAACAGAAAAAGACAGGGAAATATATAGACAGACAGACACATATCTCTCAAAAGAACCCAAGAGAAGGGAGAAAGAGAGACAATATTTTGAGGATAGTCCCAGGTAACTTTATCTCCTTAGTGAAATTAAGAAAGTTTCTACCTGGTCCCTCCTCATACAGTTAGTGAAAGTTAGGCCAACCTTTCCCCTTCTCAGAGACTGACTTCATGCTCGGCTGTTGCTCCCTTCTGGCTCTCTTATGTATAGAAAGTAAAAAAGAAAGTTTATTTATGAAACTTTCACTTTTTTGTTTAGGGAGTTTATCTTATTTTCTCTCACCCCTACAAAAAAAAGATCTATCATGGTATCCAGTTAACCTTTCTATTCACTTTTTTTACTCACTTATGCATAGAAAGTAAAAAATTATGTTTATTTATATAACTTTCATTTTCTGTTTCGGGATAATAATCTCACTTTCTCTCTTCCCAAAATCTTATCATGATATACAATTGACCTTTCTATTCAATTATGTAAAGAAAGTAATATAAAGAAAGTATTTATGCGACTTTCACTTTCTGTAAATCTTCATACAGTTGAAGGGAAAGTTACACTAACCTTTCATTCCTGGAAAGTCTCTTCATGGTCTCCTTCTCTCACTCCGACCTAGACAGTAAAAAGAAAAGAAAGTTTATTTGTGTGAATTTAATTTTTATAAGACTTCCTATATTTAGTGAAAGTTATCTTATTTCCCTTCCTAGAAAGCACCAATCATGCTCCATAGATGTCCTTTCGACTCTTTTACATATAGAAAGTAACCCAAACAAAGTTGATTTAAGAGATTTTCACTTTCTAAAATCCCTCATACTATTAGAGAAACTTACCCTACTTTCCCTTCCCTTTAAAAAGAAAGTTCAACTCACTTTCTTTCCCTGACTTTCCAATATAGGAATAAATTGGGAAGAAAAAGAAAACTTCATACGATTTTTCACATTTTGAAAGCCTTTTACGTCCTCACTTTCCCTCCCATAAAGAGAAAGTCTCACCTCTCTCTCTCTCTTGCTTGATTTTCTTTCTCACTTATGCAGAGAAAGTAAAAAGAAATTAAACATTATATCTATTAAATATTCTCATTCAAAAAGTAGTATTCGCTCCAAGGTTCATATACAGGTTAGGTAAGGTTAGGTTAGGTTAGGTTAGGTTAGGTTAGGTTAGGTTATGTTATGTTAGGTTAGGTTAGGTTAGGTAATAGTTTGGTTAGATTAACTTCCTCCACCTCCTCCTCCTCCTCCTCCTTCTACTCCTCTTCCTCCTCTCATCTCCCACCTTTTCCTCACCCTCCACCCTCTTCTTCTCATCCTCCTCAACTTCCTTCCTCTTTTACTTCTCCTTCTCACCCTCTTCTTCTTCTCCTCCTCCCCCTTTACTCCTCCTCTCCCCCCCTGACCCTTATCGATAACCAGGGTTCCATGAAGGCCGGGGGGAGGAAGCAAAGGGAAGGGGAAGGGGGGGTGGGGAGGGAGTCGCCTTTGCATCACCTAACATAAACGAACACTCACACAAACACCCGTATACCGGATTTATCTCAGAACCGGATTTATCTCAGAACCGGATTTAAGAGATTTTGCTTAAGGAATTCTAATTGAGATCAGATTTAGGTGTGTAATATTAATAATGTCAGATTTCTATGTGTAATATTATGGACTATATAGTGAAAGAAACATAAAAAAAGTGTATTTCCGTTGATAATAACTAACCTTTTGCTGGATAAAATCGCCTTTGGCATTAGTTAAATTAAACATTAACACTGACATTTAATACTGAAAGGGTTAATATTAGTCTAACCTGGAATTAATTAACATTGTCATAGATACAGGTTGAGATGAAGACGCTACCTTCACCTGGCCTCGATAAATGATAAAAAAAGGACATATTTTTATTTTTTTTCCCAGGATGTGACGTCAACGCGGTGTAGAGTTAACAGTACACTGGAGGTAAGATACATTTAGCGTATTTTAGACCTTATTATTAGTGTCTATAGAGATTATTATGTGGGTTCGGTATTGGTGAGGGTTAGTGTCAATGTCAGTCATCATGAAGTAGTCATTATGTGTGTGTGTGTGTGTGTGTGTGTGTGTGTGTGTGTGTGTGTGTGTGTGTGTGTGTGTGTGTGTGTGTGTGTGTGTGTGTGTGCGTGTGTGTGTGTGTGTGTGTGTGTGTAAATACAACATTAATTATTCAGCCTGATCGACAACATCTTCTTGTTTATTCTCACAACACTGAAATGGGTTCCAATTTACATTAAGCTACAGCAAAATACATGAAATTCATAAACCATATTCTGTAATGTTATTTTAAACCACCACAGCATGTTAAAACAGAGGTGTATCTATAAACCTGTTCATAAACCAGACCAATAAAACACACAGGTGAGGACAGGTGAGTGAACACAGGTAGGGAGTAATATTTGAACACCTGGGCCAGCCTCACCTGTCATCTTTTAATGTTTCTTTATGACTTTTGCTTCACGCTTGGTTTGCAGTTTTTGACGTGTGTTAGTCTTAATTATGATCTACCTTTCGCTTACACCTGATGTTAAGTTAGTTCATATTAATGTTTGTTTACAGTGGTTCAGGTGGACGGACAGGTGTTGAAGCCTTAATTGTTAGTGTTCACTGTATGTATGTATGTATGTATGTATGTATGTATGTATGTATGTATGTATGTATGTATGAGAAACCCCCCAGAAAGCACCAGCACCAGCCGTTACCGAGGACCACTACCGCCAATCATGACTAAACTTCCCCAGTGACCATCACCTCCCGCCCTCAGACACTCGCTAGCACTCTCCATCTCTGTAACAGCGTCCCAGATGTTTGTGTAATCCGGGCCGCCGCCACGACCTCGGGGGAGCAATGTGTGTTATTTTGCCGTGTGGGAGGCTGTACGTAGTGGTCTTAAGGGGAGGGGAAGGGGAAGGGAGGGAAGGGAGGGAAGGGGAGGGGAGGGGACGGGGGGATCGTCCTGTTTACTTTGTATCTCAACCACTCTTCTGTACACTTGACTCTCTTGGTGTTGTGTTGAGTGATGCCGCAAGGTCTCTGGCTGCCTCCTACTCAGTATTTTTTAAGTCCCTCGGGGTTAATTTAGACTTATGCGGGATTTTTTTTGATGTTATACCACAAGGTTCAGGTTTCCTCTACACAGTGTTAAGACCTCGGGGGTGTTACCACCAAGGGTTTTTTTTTGAGGGAAGTATTGGATTTTTTCTCTTTTATGTGAAGCGGTTAGGGTTTTATAACAGCCAAGTCTTAACATAAAAGTTAAAGTTGTATCATCACTTCCCTCCCCCAGTACTTTACTCCTCTCCAACCTCCACTTTTCCATGTCACCTTCCCCCCTCCCTTTTTAACCTTCCCCCTCCCCTTCCTTCTGTAACTGTCCCCTGCAGTTTAGCTCATGTGGCCTCCCCCCCTTTTGGAGGGAAAGGAGTGGTGAAAAATATTAGAGGTAGAAGAAGAAAGTTATAGTTTGGAAATTGAAGAAGTTTAGGAGGAGGTAAGAGAGGGCGGGCTGACTGCCTTGCTGTGGGTTAACTAAGCTAATAGTGTGTTAGGGTTGTGTCATGGGTCAGTTATTGTCTGTCGGTACAGGCACTAGACGGCCTACCCTATCCCATATATGGGTGTTTTATGGGCCTTATTTCATATTCCGCCGACCCTATTGGCGGATGCTGGTCTAGGAAGGTTGTCTATTGCCTGGCCGTATATATCGGGGGTGGTAATGGACCTTTTGAGATTTGGTAATTTTTTGAGAGCCCCTTCCCCCCCCTCCTCCCCTAACCCCCGTAACTCCCCCCCCTGTAGCATCCCCATTCCGAGTTTAGTCAAAGAGACAAACACACCTCACTGAATATACGTTATATTATTATATAAGTTAACTTCCTTCACTCGCTTCAATTCTGTTTTTTAAAGTTTTCAAAGTTTTTAATTTTTTCACCAAATTACTAAATACTTTCCCTTTTTGTTTCGTCTCTGTATTGGAATTTAAATGAATTTCAATATTATTGGTCGTTCAAATATTTTCTTCTTTGGGGAAGGGGGTGGTCTGTTTGAATGTAGTTTTGTTATATATTTTTTCAAACTTTTTAGGGAGATATTTTTCGTTTTCTCTTTAACTTTAATTTTTTTTTATGGAATTCTAATATTATTTTCAAATATTTTTTTTCTAGGATTTAAAATTTGTCCTTTTAAATTTCTTTATTTAAATTCTCACATTTCTCTCATTTCTTTATTTTTATGACTCAATATTTTCATTTTAAAACTCAAATTGGTTTTTGGGTTCACCTGCAGATTAGCCACACTAATGCTACCTGCTGGGAGTTGGGTTAGGTTAGGTTAGGGTGGTTAACATTCATGTGAAATAAATTGGTTAAGTTAGGTTAGGTTAGGTTAACTTCAGAGTTCTGAATCTTCAGATAAAAGAAGCTGGAGTGCCTAATCTTCAGGTGATCCGAGATTAATCATTTTTCAAGTTCTCTTTTTCCTAATACTCAATTTCTTCTTTTCAATTAAGTATTCAAATTATCGGTGTTTATCTTCCAAATATTTTTCTTCTCAATTTAGTATTTAAGTTTTGATAAATAGTTTTAATGTTGTAATATGATATTTTTTTCAGTATTTATTTTTGGTACATTGAAAGAATCTCTCTCTCTCTCTCTCTCTCTCTCTCTCTCTCTCTCTATCTATCTTCACACCATCTCTCTCCTCCTCACCCCTCCCATCCCACCTTCACCCTCCCACACCCCTCTCCCTCTCTCTCTCCCCACCCTCTCTCTCCCTCACCCACCCACACCATCTCTCTCCCTCACCCCCTCCCCCACACCATCTCCCTACCCTCCCACACCCTCTCTCTCCCTCACCTCCCACACCCTCTCTCCCCTCACTCCCACACCATCTCTCTCCCTACCCCCCTCCCCACACCATCTCCCCCTCTCTCCTCAACCTCCCACACCCCTCTCTCCCCACCCCCCCCCACACCCCTCTCTCCCCACCCTCCCCCCACCTCTCTCTCCCCTCCACCCTCCCCACCCCCTCTCCCCACCCTCCCTCACTCTCTCTCCCCAACTCCCCCACCCTCTCCCCCACCCCCCACACCATCTCTCCCCACCCTCCCCACCCTCTCTCCCCACCCCTCTCTCCCTCAACTCCCCTCACCCCTCTCTCCCCCACCCTCCCACACCCCTCTCTCTCTCCCCTCACCCCTCACACCCTCTCTCCTCCCCACCCCTCCCCCACCCTCTCTCTCCTCACCCTCCCTCACCCTCTCCCTCACCCTCCCCTCACTCTCCCTCCCCACCCCCATCTCCTCCCCTCACCCCTCACACCACCTCTCCCCACCCCCCTCACCCTCTCTCCCTCCCCACCCCTCTCTCCTCCCTCACCCTCCCCTCACCCTCCCTCCCCCACCCTCCCCTCACCCTCTCTCCCCCTCACACCCCCCCACCCCTCTCCCCTCACCCCCCACCCATCTCCCCACCCCCTCACCCCTCTCTCTCTCTCCCCACCCTCCCTCACCCCTCCTTCTCTCCCTTTTCCCTCCCCTCACCCCTCCTCTCTCTCTCTCCCCCACCCTCCCCAATCTCTCCTCTCCCACCCTCCTCACCCTCTCTCTCCCCACCCCCCACACCATCTCTCCCTCACCTCCCAACCTCTCTCTCCCTCACCCTCCCTCACCCCCTCTCTCCTCACCCCTCACACCATCTCCTCACTCCACACCATCTCTCCCCACCTCCCTCACCCTCTCCCCTCACCCCCCACACCATCTCTCCCCCACCTCCCCACCCCTCTCTCCCCCTCACCCCCCCTCACACCATCTCTCCCTCACCCTCCCTCACCCTCTCTCCCCTCACCCCCCACACCATCTCTCCTCACCCTCCCCTCACCCTCTCTCCCCTCACCCCCACACCATCTCTCCCTCACCCCTCCCCTCACCCTCTCTCTCCCTCACCTCCCTCACTCTCTCTCCCTCACCCCTCACACCATCTCTCCCTCACCCTCCTCACCCTCTCTCACCTCCTCACCTCTTCTCCCTCACCCCCTCACACCATCTCCCCCTCACCTCCCCACCCTCTCCTCACCCTCACCCTCTCTCTCCCTCACCTCCTCCCACCATCTCTCCCTCACCCTCACCTCTCTCCCTCACCTCCCCACACCACCTCTCCTCACCTCCTCACCCTCTCCCTCACCCCCTCACTCCATCTCTCCCTCTGACACACACATATAATCCTCACTGTAGCCCACACACACACACTGTACCCCGAGGCGCCCTTAAATTACACACCTGTGACATATATTTAGACGTGTACCTCACATACTCTCATATTCCCTCCCTCATACCTCACTCTCCTCCTCTCCCTCATACCTCACTCCCTTACCTCCTCTTAACCTCACCCTTCCTCCCTCACCACCTACATCCCCCTCCCTCCCCTCACCCCCACCTACACACCTGGCCTGCCCCGCCCTACACACCTGGCCTGCCCCGCCCCAACATGTGTTTATATTACCTGTCTATTTCTGTCCCAGTGGAGGGTCTTCCTGTACCTGATCCTGGGAGGAGGAGGAGGGGCGTGGGGAGAAGTGGGAGGAGGGGGGGGAGAGAGGGGTGGGGGGAGGGGGAGGCGAGGGAGGAGGGTGAGGGTGGGGAGGGAAGGCGGGAGGAGGGGGGAGATGAGGAGGGGAGGCGGGGGAACTATAGCCTGCTGTAACGGAGGATCTATTTTGTCCGAGTGAGTATCTGTGATCTCTCTGCTAGAGCTAAGAACCCACAGCAAGCACAAAGCAAAGCGAACGTTCGTCTGGCGTTAATTCCATCAAGTAACATTACAGAGAAGATTGAGGGAACTTAACCTAACCTAACCTACCTAGAGTGCATAATCATGGTAAAATAAACTGTGATGATTCTCAGGTGAATAAACTGGGGTGGATGATCTTCAG